AAAAGATTTCATTTAGATTTGAAAAAGATTTCATTTGGATTTTAAAAAGATTTCATTCAGATTTCAATTAGATTTGAAAAGAATTTCGTTTAGATTTGAAAAAGATTTCATTTAGATTTGAAAAAGATTTCATTTGGATTTGAAAAAGATTTCATTCAGATTTCAATTAGATTTGAAAAGAATTTCGTTTAGATTTCAAAAAGATTTCGTTCAGATTTATAAAGGATTTCGTTTAAATTTGAAAAAGATTTCATTTGTATTACAAAAAGATTTCACTTGGATTTGAAATGGATTTCATTCAGATTTCAAAAAGATTTCGTTTAGATTTGAAAAAGATTTCCCTCAGATTTCAAAGAGATCTCAAAACGATTCCACTTGGATCAGAGAAAGATTACATTTCTGGGTCAAAAACACATTACCTTTCGACCTGAAAATCAAGCGGTTTCTGAGAGTCGGAATTCGCTGAAACATAAATAGGGATTTAAGGAAAAGCCGGAAAACAAACTGAATCGTGGACATGTTACTTGACTTGAATGGGGAAAGTGGTCAAACGAAGATTCGACGACAAGAACTCCAAGATAAATCTGGTTTCGCATCTTTAATCTATCCCTGAACTCAATGACTAAAGGGAACAAAAATCTGCCTACATATAGAAGTTCTCGAGCGAAACAAAGGGTGAATGATTGCGCGACACGAAATCCAAGATAAATCTGATTTCAGATTTCGCATTTTAAATCTATCCTGAACTCAATAACTAAAGGGAACAAAAAACTGCCTATATATAGAAGTTCTCGAGCGAAACAAAAAGGTGAACGATTGCTCGACATGAAATCCAAGATAAATCTGATTTCAGATTTTGGATTTTAAATCTATCCCTGAATTCAATAACCACAAACGAAAATATATCTTGAGGGCGTGGGTGTGGGTGTGGGAATCCGAATGTGGATTAACGGAAAATAACAGTCATACCCGGATCCACGCACACCCACACGCTCAAAGTTATCAATATCAATAGAAATCATGAGAAATCAGTAGAAATGATCAAAAACCATCCGGATTTTGTGGGAATCGACAGAAGGTTTAAGATATCAAAGAAATCATGTGAAATCAGACTAATTTACTTGAAATCTTTCAGATCGTTTGAAATGATTTCGAATGGTTTTTAGCTACTTGAAATAATCCCTTTTGTTTTCTGATGATTTCCATGATTTCCAATGATTGCCAATGATATCCATGATTTCTACGGATTTCGATGATTTAGGCCGATTTGATGCGATTTCGATTGATTGCGCCTATTGAAATCAGTTTGTTTCCGCGTGTTACCGCACATTCTGAATGTCGTTTACAGTCACTGTATTTTCACGGTAGTTGTTAAAGTCGAACGTGTACGTTCACTGTTTACCATTAACGTAATACCTCGTAAAACTTCGTATATGACAGGCGTCTACAGTCGCCGTATTTTCACGGTAGTCGTAAAAGGCGAAAGTTTACGGTCATTGATTACGATTATCGTAATACACCGTAAAACGTTGTATATGTCTGTCGTAAACGGCCACTGTAAGTAGCTATCGTTTACGATATTTCACGGCATAATCCGAGTATCGTTTACTTTCTCCGTATTTTTACGGTAGTCGTAAAAGGCGAAAGTTTACGGTCATTGTTTACGATTAACGTAATACGCCGTAAAACGTCGTATATGACTGCCGTAAACGGCCACTGTAAACGAATGCCGTTTTTCAACTTAAATGATTGGTGTACGGCCGTTTACGACCGGGCAGGAACCACCTGGGATCGCCCGCAGATTACGTAAGCATAAAAATAGAATTAGTGTATCCATCATAGAATGGGAATTTCGTTCTGTCGAGAAAAATTGTCTACATTATTATATGATCAGGAAGGGCAAACGTGAACCAAATCTTTTTTTTCATCATTTCAGAGGCCCGAGGGCGATTTTTTTATTAACTCCCTTTTCTTTTGTGTTTCAATCAGAAGGATCACTAGAGATATTCCATATTCTATCATTTACATTTGAGATATTTGAAAATCCGATTCATTGCATTTCTTTCAAGTGAATAACCAAAAATCCGTCATGTCTAATACCCCTCATTTCTGATATTTTGTAGCCTCCTTCCTCGATATCTGTCATGAAAGGCGCTAAAACATCTTTCTCAATCACCACGTTCCGTTTCAGGTATTTGAAAGCACCATTTTTTGCACTTTGCCTACAAGGATGCTTGAAGATGCTTTTTCAAGAATACCAATTATGTCAAGCATTTTGAACACTCATTCGTCGGGATTTACCGAGAAAGTACTTTAAATCTCGTTTTATATGAAAAAAATCATTGACTCTTCGAAATACCTCAAAAAGACGTATTCACTGAAAATGATCTTTAAAGATCCTTTTCACTAAAATTGAATTAATGCTGCTTCTACATACCTCAAATGGTAGGTAATGAATTAGAAAGACCTATAAGCGTCTTTCCCCGTTGATTTCGAGGAAGAAATCTTCGAAATACCTGAAGTCTTCGGTGGTGAGCTGTGAATCGCTTGGGATGTCGTATGGTTGTGTAAATGATGGTGAAGCGGTGCGACGGGGTATTTCCATTGCTGAAGGTGACTGGTAATTTAGTTCGTTGATGATGCCACTGTCGTCATGAGTATGTGTGGTGGTGTTTGGAAATATTCGCGAGATCTCAAGAAGATTGGAACTTCCGGAGTTTTCCCAGATAGAAACGGTCGGATTTTTTTAGTTCCGTAGCATGTTCCGATAGTATTCCGTGTGATCACGGGTCGGTTCCGGTAATTTTTCCTAGTGGTTATGGTGCCGGGAATAGTGAGGAATACTCCGGTTACAATACGGTGATTTCCAAACGGAATACTGCTTCCAACTTCCGGATAGCTTTCCGGTCCGTTTCTGGTTGGAATCTCGTTGGAAATCACCGGAATTAGCGGGAAATAACACCGTTTCCCGCCGTTTCCGGAGTGCGGAATCATCGACCTGGGCGTACATGTTAATGCGCATATTTTTACCTATTAGAAAAGAACTTAGTCAAGAGTAATCCTATCAAACTACTTTAAAACAGTACATTTTCTAATGATCGACGAAAATGTTTCATAATCGTTATAGTTTATATACAAATATTTGACGCCATCTATTGAACCGTTATTTTCTTATGTTCTTATGTATATAATGAAAAAGATTCCAAACATATTTCCAATTAGAAATGAAATATAAAAAGCAATCAGATTTTACTAGATTTTTATAGTTCATCAGAAATATTTGTCGAAATACATATATACTAGTTTCAACCATCAACCATTGAAAAAATTCTCTTGCTATATACACGTGCATGCATGCTTGCTTTGCTATGTTACTGATGAGTCATAAGTTATGACTCACCAATAAAAACCGAATAGTGATATCGATTGGTTGGATTGGATGCATATCTATACTTTGCGCATCAAACAAGAATAAACTATTTGAGTTACGATCTAGAAAGAGTGTCTTGGTTTATACTTTCGAAATATTTGACCTTCATATTATCGTTAGATCTTAATCTAATCAAAAATTCGGTGCTTCTTTACTTTAATCACAGCATTGCCATCCTCACTGTGTGTGGCATGTATAAATTACATCAATCAGTATGCGGATGTGATTAAAGTAAAGAAGACCCAAAAATCCTACTAATGATATTTATCATGTTCGTTTAGAGAGATGAGAAAATAAAATCACTCTTGACTTGAACTGAAAAATAGTTAGTTAATATTTTGCGCAGTATAATTGATAACTTTAGAATCGTTCGACTTAATAGTTTTGCTTTCTTCTCAGACCTTGCCTTTTATATTAAACTCCAACCTTCGTTCCTTTCTTATAATCAGAATCTTTTCCAGACGTACTCAGAACAGTTTTTTCTCTATACATAAGATGACAAATGCACATTTATGTATTGATTTATTTCTCTTGGAATTAGTCATATGTCATGAAATCTTCCTTTTATTCTTGCGTCTTGTTATTATGCAAAGTTTTTCTTCCTTTCTGCTGTGTCTTTATGAGATATTCTACTTGAAATTATGCAGTTCTCATTACTACTTAAAGGGATCGTCTTTTGTGCCGATTCATATGGTAATTATTTATTTAAAACTAAATACTATATAGCATATACTTTGCTGATAGAAGTAGATTACTTAATTATATTCATTAAAAAAAGATTAACATTTAGAAAATAAAAATTTTTATTTTTAAGATTTTATTTATCTTCATTGGATCGACATAAATTTTGTTATTTTTATTTACGTTATAAGGTAAGATTGTGTTTATTCTATAAAAAATCAACTAGAATATGTTCTTGACAACAAAATTAATTTTTCTTTTGTGCTCGAATTAGTCTCCGACAAAACAATGGATTTCTTATTTGCAGAGAGTCTATTTCTCGGATCACTTTTCTCAGTTAATTTACTATATAAAATCCAACTCAATCGTTGATATTATAAATTTATTTTTAATGAGTCATCATCATTTTGTTACTCAAAAAATACTGAATTTTTCATAAATCTTTTCTTTGCATTTAGCTCAATATTAAGAGCTTGCAAAATAATGTGAAATATATTACATTTTTGCAGAGAATTTCAATCGCAATCTTTCTAAAAGAATATTTGACTTCTATCAAAAGTAAATAATTGAGTTCTAGTTACTTTCTATGTTATCGTAATTACCTGAAATTGTTCAGTTTTTATAAAAATGTCAAACAATAAATCATGATTTCAGTTTTACATTTTACAATCAATAGTTAGATTAAAAAATCATCAATATAGCTGGAATCTTGAGAAAATCAACACACTGCTGCGTCAAGATGATTCCGACATGCACTGAACTGACAATTATTATAATACTTCTTTAATTCCTACATCTACTTTCTAATTCTAATACAATAACTACTTTTGAAAAGTTCAGAGCAACTAAATCATTCAGCGTTTTTAATATAATAGAAAAAATCTGAACAATGGGAAATAAATCAACAACTCAGATCTATAATTCAACAAAAGAAACAGTTAAGATTTTATTACATGATACGGAAAACAATCCAACTGATACAATAATAGGACCTCGTGAAATATGGAGTAAAGAAACTGCAGCTGGCTGGAATACAGTTATGATAATACCATTGAATGATAATCAAGAACGATTTTCATATAGCCTTGAATCTAACAAAAACTTAATAATTAAAAGAAAATTAGAAAAATTAATCTTAGTTCCATCGATAAATTCTCCTACAGTGGAAATGGATCTTACACTTGGCAATTATAAAAGCGCGGATTATTGGTGGAATTGTCCTCCCCAATTTAATGCAGAATTACTAGGCTTAGGTGCAAGCGGATGTTTAGTCTTCAACGAATCGAATGAATCAATACGAGTTCGTATTAGTGATTTCAATGATCGTAATACTGATATGATTTTAGCTCATGGCGAACATAATATAGTTCAAACACCAAGGAAAATGACATCTACTACTGTAGTGGTATCCGTATTAGATTTCAATTTAGTTAATACTAACAATAATATTATTGCAAGGGCAAAATATTCAATGACTCGTTATATGTATGAATATCATGGTGCTGCTGCTCATGGCGCCGTCCTGTGGTATTCATCGTGGTACAACTTTTTGAGAATAATTAAAAAAGACGGATACTTTGTAACTGAACAAGCCCGAACAATCGAAGCAAAAGATTTATTTCAGTACGCTCGTCAAAATGTCCCATTTAGTTCTCTACTTAGTCGCGAATTTAATGGAAAAGTTTAATATATATCAAAAACTTATACCATGGTACCAACATCTGATGGCAAATATGATGTTACTCGTAAAAATGATGACTGCCATATTGCATAATGGAAATTTATACAGATTTGTTTTTTGTTTATATATTGAAAATAAAATTGAAAATAGTAATTACTATTATATATAATATCGTTAATAATTTCATTTAATAATATAAGATTGACATTAATATATTCCACGTTGATCATTGTCAAAAGAAAGGAAATTGAGCAAGCCTTGCCCATCATGATTAGTGACAAATCAATGAATGCTAGAAAAGAAGAAATAAAATGAATACAATCTTTATTTTGATCATGAGGAAACTTTTTGCAGATTTGCTCGAGTATGGAAAACTAATTTTTAATTTTTAAGATAACTGAGATACTAAAACAACGATCTTCATTATTATTTTCATGTCAATTGAGAACAATCGAAAAATATTTAATTGATTGAATCTTATTAATAGAATAGTTTTTAGCATAAACATTTTCACTTCTGCTCAAGCTTTCAAATAAAAGAAAAGCTATTTTATTGTTGATCAAACCCATTCTGTAGTTTTTATTTCGATCTTTTGACTGACAAAATTAACTTTAGAAAGTATAAGTAAAACTTCATGTTTGAAACTCCATTCACGAGAAACTTGGAATCAGTTTACAATTCAATTAATTTTTCGAATTTAGTGACATTTCCGTAACAATGCAGAAGAATTTTTCTAAAATTTATATTGTCCTTACTCTTGTAAAAATATTATAAACGAAGACTCATTTGTGAGATAAACATCAACCTTTATGAATCACAACATAATTGAAAACAAGCTAATTTTATTTAACAACAAACTGAAAAGAAAGAAAAAACGTTAAGCATAACCAATAGGTTTCTTTCTACGATGTTGACGTATATCGGAAAGAGTTGGTTATGGTATTTTTAATTCATTGGGTGCTGGTATTTTTTTTTGTTACTGTTTCTTGTTCTTTAGCAATATGTTCTCGTGACTATTCTTCTTCAATAGCATCTTTTGGAGTATCTTTTTGCTCAGTCAATTGTATACTTGGTTTTTTAAACGTGAATAAGATTGCACTCTAAAAAATTCAGACACATGACGTGTATAAGTAAGACGGTTCGTTCGTCTGAACAAGACACTTTGAACAATTTCTGATTGGTCTACTAAAGTCTAATTTAGACACTTTAGTCAATCTGTGACTGACTATTTCAAGAATAGACACAGTATTACATAAATATTAAACATGCAGAAAAATATTTTCAATAACGAATTTCTTTTCATCAATTTAGTTGTCGTCAAATTAAAATAAAAAGTTAGAAAAAGTTCCTGAAAAATATTCTCGTACATTATTTTTTATAAAGTGAAATTTAATTAAAAAGATAAGATTCATTAAAACCAACTAATATCAATACTGTAACATATGAATATAGTATTAAATAAATCTTTTTTTAAATCAAATTTCACTTTATAAAAAATAATGTACGAGCCCTAGTGAAACATCTTGTAAGTAAGATCTTGAAATCTTGGGATTGGTAGGTAAGATCTTATCAAGATCTTTAAAAGATAATTCGCTTGTTCAGATCTTGTCCTATCTGATAAATCTGTACCTAAGATCTTAGCAAGATCATGGCAACGATTTCTTTTGCAATTATCTTCTCACAAGATCTTGAGTAAAACAGAAAGCTACTTCATTAGTTTATTTAGATAGGCTATCTAGTCATTCACCGTTTTTTTATGCATACAGAACAGAATATAAGCAACATGATTGAACATGCAAAAATATAACTTCACAAAATAAGTTTTTTTCTAAACTATTTCTCGACTATTGATTAATCGAGAGGATGCTGATCTCAATCGATGGTCGAGAGAGGACTACCCTAAATTGGTCTGGCGAATATCGGACCAACTTAAAGCCGGTCAGATCTCAACATCTGATTTGTTTGAGCTATTCGGGACAGGAATAGTTAATATTAAAATATATTGAAAAAGTACCAAACATACTTTCAGAATGCATCATTCAAGATGTTATGAATTCTTACTTAAGATCTCTAATAAGATCTTGGGTACAAGATAATACAGTTATCTTGTACCTAAATTTTCAAGATCTGTTCACTTATCTGTACCCAAGATCTTACTTACAAGATGTTTCACTAGGGAGAATATTTTTCAGGAATTTTTTCTAACTTTTTATTTTAATTTGACGACAACTAAATTGATGAAAAGAAATTCGTTATTGAAAATATTTTTCTGTATGTTTAATATTTATGTAATACTGTGTCTATTCTTGAAATAGTCAGTCATAGACTAGTTGACGTTTCTGGAAAAAGCTATCAAAGCCTAGTTTAAATATTTTTCTCTATCAAATTTCATGTGCATTTGCATTATCGATTATTTTTTTAAATGTAATTCGAAAAATTCTTGAGCCGAGTCAATATGGACAATTTTAGTTTTACCTAAAAAGAAATAAATTAGTGCATGTTATGGTAAAAATAAATGAGAAAAAAACTGAGGCTTTTTTTTTCATTGATACATTTGTAAAACCATTTTAGTTATCCGACACCACCTAGTATATGCAAAAAAAAAACTATTTCTATTTGAATATAGGAAAATAGTACAAGGCTAAATAAGAACATATTACCATGTTCGATTTCGAGGATCATACGATGGAAAAAAAAATAAGAAAACAAGCACTTTTTTATTTCTAGAAAAATTGAATTGAACTTATGCAACTAAACTAAGGTAATTGTTTGTTCATAATGTAAAACGAACTACCGCAAAACAAAGAAAATATTAATTAGCCAATGAAGAAATATCAAATGAGGGAGAAAGAAAAGAGAGCTTTAAGACGCATTCCTGTCTTGTGAGTTATACGTCTGAAAATCAGACACTTTTCGTGTCTAAATTAGGCGTAAGACGGGTGAACCATCTAGTAAGACGCATGGCATTTTTTACAGTGTGGATTTAATGGCGGTAGCCATGATGGTAATATTTTGGAATGAACACGCCATTGACTATATGGATTCGTCAATATACGTTCGAAAACAACATATTCAAGAACATCTTTTGGTAATGTTTCATTACCAAACATCAAACGACCAAATCGATCATAAATTGCACAAGTCTAAATAAAGAAAAATAGAAAAGAAAACTTTCTAAGACAAAATTATTACCTGTTTCGAATGCATGCGTACAGTTACTTGAGCCATTGTCATACCTTTAAGAATTTTTCCACTTTTTATTGCAACAGCCTACGAAGGTTCAATATCTTCAGTCCGTTTCCAACGTAAAGTTTTATAGTGAAGACCATGGCACAACGTGGATCATAAGCAATATTTTCAAATTACTTAGGGAACAAGTCAACTATGTCGTTGACTAGAAAAATTTTTTATACTGTTTAGAACATCTTTACCATAAAATATTGAAGTCTTCATGAAAAACTCTACAAATGAACAAATTAAAAGGAACAATCTCTGTCTCGTATTCTTTCGAATGTATTTTGATACTTGAAATACAATTTTTATAGGCTTAGCTTCATCATAGTTAGTTGGTCGCTCGTGCATAGCATTATTAATATTAATAATTATAGTCTGATTTTGGTATACCAAACATGCCTTGCAAATTATATTCATTTAAAGGTTCACCAGAATAACTGTTTGAACCATAAACCAATGAGGAATCATCTGATTTTGGTATGCCAAACATGTCTTGTAAATTATATTCATTTAAAGGTTCACCAAAACAGCTGTTTGAACCATAAACCAATGAGAAATAGTCTGATTTGGGTGGCCCTTCACCAGGTGCAACTTTTGGATATAAAGAAAATATTAATTCACCGACTTTTTTTCCAATAAATCCAAAAATAAGTCCACCTAAAACTCCAATAACAAAACTTCCAATGCCAGGTAACAAGGCTGCAAGAACTGATGTAATACACGATCCAATCTGGTCAATGGCCTTTTCTAAAATATGAACAGTTAATTTTTGTATAGTTTCACCATTTTTATCCGTTAAAATTAATATTAATTCTTTAATTTCATAAATAACTGATATAACGATCATAAATGATTCGAATTTATTTTCTGATACATATCGTAAAAATCGATTTTTAACACAGGGATCATCTGGATCAAGAACATTAATTGATTTAATACTTTGATTAAATTTTCCAACGTGATTTTTATTAATTCCAATATTTTTTTTAACAGTTGGAGATACAGTTGATGCTTTGGATTGGCAAGCACCATCTGGAATACCTTCGTAATTAAAGACACTTTTGCCTGCACCTTTTGATCGAAATTGTGGAACGACATCATTACAACGAAAATCATCATAGTTTTTTTTATTTAATACTAACTGTAATATCCTTTGTTCAGAACGACGTTCCATTGGTATGCCATTATTCTGATATTTTAAAATTTTATCAAAACACTCACTTATCCATGTTTCACTTCGATCAGCAGAAAATCCACGATTTTCAATAACTTTTTTGATTTCTTGTAATAGCGTTTTTCGATAAACTCGAATTTCATTTAGCTTTTTAACATCAATCATTTGTTGAATACCTTCACAAAATGAATGTTGAAGAATTTCAGTGGTAAAATTTTCATCTATATTACGAAAGTTTAAATCTATCCTTTCATTTTCATCATTATCGTCATGTTCAAATAATCCTTGAACTTCAAAATGACTTATATCCTGCATAGTTTTGTTTGTTATATAAATAACCGTGGATAATTTTGTCTAGTTTCTTAATTTTTGGAGAAATCACGAATAAGACTAATTTTTCTACATATTCTAAAATGGAAAGATTCCTATGTAATATTCCTTGTTCATCAAAAAGTCAGTAATAGGAAAATCTTTTTTCGAGTTGTTTTTATGGACAACAAGTAAATAGTCATTTTAAATGTACGTTATGTAAGTATAGATAAATATCTAATGTTTCAACAGTTCACCGAATAAGTTATCATACAAATCTCTTGTGTAATTCAATCGATATAACTAGTCTTAACTATAATATTATCGTACAGTTTTAGAAGTTGAATTTCACGTATGTCAGATAAATTCAGAATAGCAAATAGCTTTTCTAATGGACAAATTTAGGTCACTTAGTGTTTCTCAATGAATTTACAGTCAAGTGCTTTTCGAGTAGAATTCAATGAACTTTGTCAGACGCATACTCTTGTCTCCCCATGGAAAATACATCTAATAATGAAAAACTTAAAGATAATATGAAAAATTCAATTAAGTAAATCGTGAAATAATCTGTCATTCCATCTGTGTGATATATTCAACATTTTATTATTCTAACGGCTGGGGTTTGCTCTTCGTACTATGGATACAATAGAAGAGAAATAAAAATGTAATTTCGTATCTACCTATCAATGACATTATCAAATAATATGTATGCATCTATTAGGAGGAGAAGAAAATAAGCAAATGACTAACAGTCTTCTATATCTTTAGCCAACGGACAGAGCAGAAAAAGAACACATTTTTAAGTAAATCAATATCAAATGCACTACCTATAACGCCCTCTAAACTAGACGGAATGGGCAGAACTTTTGAAGTACCATAATCATAATCGGTAGAGAAAAGTATGCTGGATCGAACCATGATTTTATTTTTCCAGAAAAAAATGGCACACACCCGAAATAACCGAAAAACTGTGACCAATCGGGCTACTAGCATTCTGATTGACTAATTCAATAGAGCAGCAATTCGTAATAGAATATAACCCCTTCTTCTGTACAATTAGTACGTACCCTGAGCCGACAAAGCACATTGAAATAGAGAAACAATATCAAATGGTCTATGGTTGGCTCTTTATTTTTCTGGCGAGGCGGAAGATAGTTTTAATATTAGTAGATAGAGAAAAAAATCTTTATCGAACTGTGTTCTTGGTTTTAAAACAAAAAGATGCATGTAAGAGAACCGAGGCAAGTAAAAGAATAGAGGGCGCTTTCACCGTACTGTACCTATATAGTTGCTCGAGAACAACAGAATGCCAAATACCATTCACTATTTTCTCATATTTCTCTCTTTACCTTTGTTTTTTTATCGAAAATCCAGCTGTAAGTCATTCTTGGCAATCCAATATACAAGTACACCATATTCAAATACCTTCGCAGTATAAAGAAAATCTTTCTTCTATCATGATACAGATTGAAAATAATTTATTCAAGAAAAAATTTATCAAAAAAGTTGATTCATTTTATAAATAAGAAAAATGCAATATATGGCACTATTGCTAAAAAAATGATTACACACAAAGTGAAGATAAGAGACATTAACAGAAAAAAAGACAATTGAAAAACCAACATAGACATTCAATACTGGCTTATTCAATCAGGAGGTTTTGTTCTTCCATAAGATTTTCTAAAACGAGTTGTTTGACGAGGTATTGATTTTGTTGGTGGCAAAAGTGTTTTCTGAAAAAAAAAACGATTTATTATGTATGTTTGAAAATAGATGGTAAACTCACAAAAACTGATAGTGTATCAGTTTAATTTGTCTTGCCGCATTTCGGAGAAGAATATGTACAAGGTGACTGAAATATGAGTTGACTATCAATAGAATCCTGAAACGAGATAAATGAAACAATCATAATTAACTTTTCAAAACTCATACCGAATATGCAGATGATAATCTTCGACGTTTAGGTGTTTTCATTACAAAATCATAGTTTAACCAATAATTATGATCATGTTTATAGCGTGACCCTGATTGCTGATAGAACGATGAATAGTGTATCTTGAGAAGATTGATCTCATAAGACAAATGAATAATCTGCATGATTAAGCTGCTTCATCTCAAACTGGGTAGAATGCGTTGGGTTCACAATTTTCGAACTCCAATACGATTAATAGAAACTCTAAAATCCAGATTTGGTACCAATCCAGCACTGTGGGAAAAACAAAGGAGTTTCAGTCGACAAAATTTTTATTCAAAAGTTCATTATCAAGTTTTTCTTTTATACCGGGAACACGATGACCAGTTTCATTTAGATGATATCTAATCGGAAAGTATGGCAAATGAAAACCCGAAGTTCGCTATAATTGTAATAGAATTTGTCTCTGTTCTGCCAGCGAAAGAAATAAAATTGCAAAATGAATCCAATATATGAAGAAAATATATAATATATCTGCCGTGCTAATTACAATTAATGAATTGTAAATAAGTGAGGCTTCTTATCAACAGTATCTAGGAATTCTCCTGACATACGTAACTGATTCATAGGCAATAAAACATGGAATTTTCCAGAAAGGAACCATTCTACTAGTTCAAGTTCTTCAAATGATGAATTTATTCATGAAGTCTTCTATTATGTTGTTCTAATTTATCGTATAGACGATTTTTTTGCAAGTATCAGGTTGCTGAACGAAGTAAATAAATTGAAGTGTAAGCTAATACAGAACTTATTTAAGCTGATTTGAAGAAAAGCATCACTATTATTAAGTGATATAACGGATAAGCCAATAAACTAAACCCTCTAGTATTATTTTTCTGTTGCAGCTCAAAAATTAAATTAATTGAAATGATAGAATATGTATTTATTTTATGCGATCGATCGAAGAAAAGACATTCCTTTATTCATAAAGTTTGTTATTAATAAAAAGCAGCTTTCAAAGTGCTGAGACAGCAGATCGGTCTGCTTTTTAATGGACTAAGGTAGTGAATCAAAGTTGAAATGCATCGTCATTTTCTTGAGTTGCCCTGCCGTTGAACTAGAGTACTGCAACCCGACCCGCGGATGGGTGTGGGTTCAAAAAGATATACCCGCGCAGGACTTACTTTGAACAAATAACAACTTCAAGTAAGATAATCTGTATTTGCAGTTGGGAATGAATAAATAACCATATAAACACTTTTACACGATTAGTTGTTGGTGAGCTCGAGCAAAAATACTATTTATCGATCGCTTTCGTAGTAATGAGTATTGAGGACGTAAATGCCGACCTCTTCATCACACCAATACTAGCCATAATACATGCATATGACGATGATCATGGGGATAGTATCTCATATTGCTACACAAATAAAATCAATCTAATATTCAATTTCATTTTTCAATACAAAAAATCTTTTCAGAATTTTTAGTTTTATCAAAATCTCATTTAACATACATATTGTGTAAAAGAAATGTGAGCTAAATGATAGTTAATTGTTTAGGTTCAACTGATTTGAAGTAAATGGATTACGATAAATCTTTTATACTACAACGCAAACTCGACCAATCGATAACTTTGATGTACTTGAATCATGATGGAATCATTATTAATACAAAACGGATTACAAATGATTCAGATCAACACAGGTTGGTTACGAGCTCTAACATTAACACACAAAATAATTCATTACACTTGATGCTTATTTTAACGTTTCTGCATAGGTTGTGATCCAATTTAAAGGTGTTAATGCACGAAATTATTTCATTTTTAGATTTTTTACTTCTTATTATAGATTCGTTTTGAACAATAATTAATCAGAAATATCTTTCTAATCTATTTCTATGCATGTTTTGTGCTTCTACATATAGCTACATAAGATGATGACCTACCTCAAACTATTATCAACTGTTATCAATTTAGACCACGAATATCAAAGATATGAACAATTATTTCGATGTAAAAGAATGCTGTCATTAGGTCTAGGTTTTATAAATTGCTGAGAGGGATGTCATAATATCCACAACTTGGGTATCGAGATGAATACCCAGATAGGATACCCAGTTGGATGGACATCTACGTATCCCCAGAGCTGAGGNATTGCTGATAGCTATTGTTTAAAAATACTTAAATGCTACACACATAAAGTGAGAAAATAAAAATTTAATTTTAACTCCTATGTTAGCCATCTTAGTATCAGATAGAGTAAACACATACGAAAATATGACCAATTAAACTGTGATCATCCTATTCGTATTCCATGGTTTTAATCCAATTTTAATGGAGTTTATGTCAAAAGTAATTGTTAATACATTAAGTATATCAAATTAAGTAAACTTAGTTAGATTAGCAATGTACAGTAAAGATTTTATGTGATAGAATCGGCAATAAGATCCAGTTAAATTCATTAATTTATTGATTTCAATCTAAATATGTTACTTAGTCAACGTTCTGTGATGCTTTTTGAAAAGTCAGTTTCAATTCAACTCTAAGCAGTGATTCTGCAGATTCCTACTTCCAATAAGAAATATTTACTTATCGTTGAAATTCACAACTTTTTTTTCAATTAGAAATAGCAAGTATCGAATAATTCCTAATAGCCGGATCCGGTTGATTGGACGGTGCAATCCGGATTCCATACTCGGATTGAAAACGGTCAGATCCTGGCTATGTATCTAGATCGGAAACTATTCATATTTCTTCGTTTCCGATCGGAAAAGTAGTCCGGAATCCTGCTGTAAACGGGAGCCGTATACGCTTGTGGCTTCCAGAGCCAGGAATTAGCGGGAAATACTCTGGAAACGGAGACCGGAAAACTTTTTGGAATACTGCTTCCGGAATTCGATGGAAAATCACCGAATCAGACAGTTTCCCGCCGTACGTAGTTGACCTGGGATCTAATGGGCTTTGTCATAAAACAAATCATGCATTTTTCTAAGAAATATTGTGATCTTTCTCAGATTTCGTTCAAAGTCAGTGTTCCAGTTTAAACTTCATATACATACTTTAACAGTAGTCATCCATTATGAATACATAATATTTTATATTTTCATGCAACAATATTTTTAATTCTCTTATATGAAAAGGTAAACTTCATTTTGATATTGAAAGTCTCAGGAAACGTTAAATACAAAAAACTCGGATAGTTTTACAATTAATATTGCATTAGGAATTTTATGAGTACAAAGATTCAAGCCGAAAGCTACTTTTGAAAATGATCTAAACAGAAGTACTGGATTACGTTGAAGAATTGATTAAATATGAACATTAGTAAGCAACAAAGCTAATGAGAATGAAATCTTCTTTACATTTGCTAATTATAAAACGACCCACCTATGAAGATTAGGTTCAATTTTAAAAAGAGCATCTTATTCGTGAGCAAGGTTTTCTCTCTAGTATTCCATCTAGTAATGTAGGAACAAAAATATTTTTGCTCTCATAAAATTGATTGCAGCTAAATTTAATACAGAAGCTAAATAGAAATTTATTTTTCTGCACTGAAAAAAACATAAGTACTCTATGAAACTTAAAAAGGTTCCGAGATTTGCAACGAATTCGAAACCCTTTTGCGATGTCGTACGGAACCTTCAAAGTTCCGTATAGTCTCACAAAACCTGTGTCGGAGTCTCGGATATCTTTAAGGGTTTTGCGAGACTTTACGAAACCCTTGAAGAACCTCGAAGGTTCCGTATGATAAAGAAAAATGGTTTCGAATTCGTTGCAAATCTCGGAACCCTTTTAAGTTTCGTAGCGTGCTTATTTTTTTTTCNCTTTACGAAACCCTTGAAGAACCTCGAAGGTTCCGTATGATAAAGAAAAATGGTTTCGAATTCGTTGCAAATCTCGGAACCCTTTTAAGTTTCGTAGAGTGCTTATTTTTTTTTCAGTGTGTGTATTATTAAGAGTTTAAAAAATCAAATGAATATTTATGGTCAAAATTGTTTAAATAATTGAAAATTTTCTTTGAACTTCTGCATACTAGATACGCGTATTTTTTGTAATAAACAATTAAAAGTAGCATCATTCTCAAGTCTCATATAATTTTGTAAGAATTTCTAAAATTTTATATAAAATTTAACAGTTTTTCTTTTCCAAATAAAATTGATTTTTATTTTCTTCTTAATTTAGCACATAATGATTAAACATCCCACGTATGAGTGTCGCATGCTTGATCAGCTAAGCTATGATTTAATAGAAGTATCCTAGTCATGACATATTTTCATGGTAACATGTCGTCTTCAACGACTATGCCAGATATAATTCTTTTCGATTCAATTCATCTAAACTAGTTGTATAGATTTACTGCGTCTCTTTCAGACACTATTTTTTTCTTTTCCCTTGATTATTTTCATTGAATGCCAGTTAGGTTAATAGAATTTATTTTCATCAAAAGAAGAAATCGAAAGATAATATAAATTTTGAAAACCAGGTAAGCTAATTGCATGATCTATAAAACGTTTTGATTGGAAGCATACTAGATTATGTCAACCGTAAATTTAATTTCATATTATCTCAAGTATCAGCTGTTTACAGATCGTGACAGAAGGCATCTAATTAAAATTTACTTTAACTAAAGAACAAATAAGGCATGGTCCCTTATTTTTCAAGTTTTTTCTTCCGAACTGTTAGTCAATTTAATTTCCGTTCATATATAATTCATAAGAGTAACTTCAATAACTGGTTAATGAGCTCTTGCTTGTTATTGACTAAGAACTGCGGTGATGTGTAAGAAATTACACAGTGGTCTGGATACTTTTCTATAATATGATTATATTCTTGTTTTGTATGAATGTCATATTTAATATGTAAATATAATCTTGAAAGCTTCTTTTCTTTGATCTTATTCATGCCAATTATTTTTCATATTTTCTTTTTATTCTCTTTATAAATTTATTACAAATACTTTTACTGAAAAAAAAAACTACAAAATACATTTACTTTTTGCTACTTATTGATTATCTACATGTATATTTCAAGATTCTTGCTATTTGTAAGTTAATTCGCATCATTTGTCCGTAGTTTACTATATAATATCCATCGATTAGCGTTTTGACTCTTTTCAATAAACATAATAGCAACTAGTTTTCATGAAATGTTATAATACCGTACGAATCTTTGATAAAAACACAATAAGATTGCATGATAGTAATAGCAAATTGAAGTTCGCTCATTTGAAAATATTTTTTGTTACCATAATGTCTGGAAGTAAAGAACATTAGTCTGTTCAGATAACTACTTAAATAGTATGAGATAATATATATTCTTAGAATTCGTGTAGAATGCCATTTTGCCTACATTGAGCCGTGGGATATCGATTACTTGGCTCTTTTGAAGCGTCGCCTGTAGGATTAAGAGATTTCTGGTAAATATTTTGCGTCGAATATTTCTTTCTAAGCAATTTCTTTCTGTGGATGATTATTTCTTCTGGATTTTTCTCTGGTTTTTCTTCTAACTGTATGGAATTTCGTTGTAATTTATTCGTTTCAAGATTATTACAGTGGGTATCACTACATGTATCCATATTTCTATTGAATGATCGCTTTGATCTGGGTAAAAAATTTTCAATGAATAGTTGTTGAAATTTTTGACGGAATGATTTTGAAAATAATATAAAAAAGATAAAATTTGTGCCATAATGCATATTACGTATCGTACGAAGTACATGATCGATATAATGCATCTTCAATAAATAAACTGAAGAATTTAATTTTTCTGGATGCATACGTTTTGTATAAACATTGTAAGACCAAAATAATCTATAAGGTATGGTTAATATTATATAAGTTAAGGCAACACTAACAAGCATCATTGTAATTGTTCGATCTCGTGAATAATGTCTTCTTTGTGCAGTACTCTTAATTTTTACAATAACTTGTGACTGTTTTAATTGAACCTGTAGTGGCGGTGCATCAGTTAGTGTGGATTGATCTTTATGAGTTTTTGTTCGGGATAATTGAGAAGAAGATTTTAATGAATCAATTTCTGTCTTCAAGACTCGTCCATTTTTTCTAGATAATGAAATATTAGTTGTATATGGAATGAGTTTTGGTGAATAATCTAATAAAGTCTTGTTTTTATTGTTTGATGTTGAAGATTGTGCGGTATTTGTTGAAATAGGCATCATATTTCGTCGCTCTCTTAATTTTGCAATAATCATTATATTCATGGCAGCAACAAATGTTAAAGGCAATATATGTAAAAAACAAGATAATGTAATACCAATGATATCATAGACGTGTTCATGTCGTTGACTATAAAAGCAACGTTTCCATACAATAGCATAAGTATGCGTACGTTTCTGTTTTAAATCGAAACCATGTTGATTCGTTGAAATTACAGGTCGTAGTTCATGCATAAATATAGGATAAAGACAACATAATATACCTAATAATGTGATAATTGTTATACTACGAAATGCTCGTAAATTTTGACGATTTTTAATATTTCCTGTAAAACAATAACAAAAATCAAGAGCAGAACAAAATGATGCCATTGATGATTGAGACTGAATATTTTTCTGTCCACGATCAATTTGTTTAATATGATTTTTCTTAGATTGTGATAATCTTTTTGACAAATGAGATGACATATTAAAGAAAAACGACGATGGATGACATATCGAATACCAACGATTAAAAGATATAGCGCACATATACCAAGCACTTAATGCAGCGAATAATTGATCAGGACACATCAAAGCTTTACTAAAAGACAAAAGAACAAAAAGATAAGAATTCATAATAAAAATTTTCTTAAAAAAAAACTAAGACAGACCATAAAAAGTTAGATTTATCTCGAAAATAACCTCGCTCAGGTGTTCGATTAATACAATTATCAAGCCAAAATATAAATACTGGTATTAATAAATTAAGCGTATCCGATATATTAAGCATAATGGCATAAAATGACACTGGTAATTTAATAATATTACTATTCATTAAAATATAAATAGTAAGCAGATTACCGATGAGGCCAACTAAAATCTACAGAAAAAAAAATAATTATTTCTTATTAAAAATATTATTAAGAAATTTAGAGAAATTAGTTTTTCTTTACCGAAATTGGATTTACGATAAGAACAAACCAAAGAGACGTTATGGATAACAAACGATAAGAATTTGCATCGTTTAATGATGAAGGTAATGATGATACAACAGATATTGACAATGGGAAAACCATTCGAGATAATGGAGATAATGAACCTGAACTGGATGGTGTATTGTATGTAGTTTGATTTCCAGATATTTTTGAAAATAATTGTTGAAATATGGTGGACAGTTGGTCTATACCGCCAGGATACGGTATATTATTATTCATATTATTCTCTGTATTATCATAAAGATAATCATAAGGTGAAACAAGACTGTCATTGTTTCCTTGTACAATATTGGCAAGATTTGACAAAACATCGTTGACTATTTCTGTATTGTATGAAGGAATATTCATTTTGATTTTTTGAAATATTTAACTAAATGCTCAAGTCTAGAAACTAAATAATGCATGATTTTATATCTTATAGTTTAACTACAAATCTTAAGTTTTATTTCATTTTTTCTTAACAAATAATATAAACTTTTATTTACCATGCATTTATGTTTCTCTTAATATATGTATATTAGAACTGAAAGTACTTTAGACACTTTCAAAAGTATCTCTCAGCTAGCCGTATCTATATATATTTACTTGAAAGTTGTTTTAAGGCATTTTCTGGTGAAGAATGGATCATAATATTAAGACTTTTTACTGATTTCCGTTTTTCTCTGTTTCACTATGTAGAATAAAGTTTTAAGTAGAGAAGAAATATTCAAAAAAAAATCAATCAAAACTGTCGATTCAACAATATAATTGTATTATTCACCTGTTGAACGAATGGACATTAACATATAAAATTGAACTGCCAAAATAAATCACTGAAGTGATCGCAAAAGAAGAAGAAAATAACTTTCTATATCATTGGCAACAAGAAAACATCTTCATGAAAATAAAAAAAAAGGAAGACAAAAATAACAGAGAAACTTAGAGGATCAAGGCTTATATATTGTCTATTGCGTGTCTGCTTAGGAAAATCGCACTGCTATATTTCATGTTGTTAACAATGTAAAGATCAACAACTTAATAGCAGATAATCTGTTAATATTTTATATTTAGCATGGATATGAATGTCTCGAAATAAGTATAAAATAATTAAAACGAAGAAATTTGATACGAAGAAAAACAAATTTAGTCACGAAATCAATATCACATTATGTATAACTAAATATAATTATTCTTAATTATATTTAGTATGCAGATGTTAAATAAAAACATTTGTATCAGAAAATTTTCTATCTCTATATATCCATCATTCTAATGATTACTCATCGGCATGCAACTTTCCTAAAAAATACTTATAAAGACTAATTATTTCTTTATCGAGCCCTGGTAAGGAAACATAGGGATGTCAAGTTCCTTTTTTTCTCACCGATGCCACATTGTATATTTGCTTGTTCTGTTAATTTCAAGCTCGGTTATTACTGTCGCTTCTTTTTTTTTGATAAATGATGAGTAGAGAAAAGACAAGGCAAGAACAAAACTACTGGAAAACGTCACATGACTGGTCAATAGAATATGAACGATAATTCTTACTCGATATATTCAGCTGCAGAATTATGTCAGTTTAAAATTATGCTTAAAATAATATCTGACAAAAAACAATCATTCTGTTTTTTATTATAAAAACAATCATTCTATTTTTTATTATAAAAACAAAAACGAATGTCTATTTTTCTATCAGGCGTCTTTTTATTTCAAAAATATTTTAGCTACTTTGATTTTTTCAGCTCCGATAATAATTATTTAAACATGTCAAAGATATAAATATTAAGCAAAATATGAATATGCTTATTCAATAAATAAATAATTCTTATATATCTTTTTTAATGTATTGCTTACGTCAACAAATATTCTAAAAAAAACATTTTAAAAACTAAGCTCATATACGCTAATTGAATATTAAAATAGGTGAATATATTATGAAAGAGAGAGAAAGAACGAGTGAGACATTATGATGTAAATTATTTATTTTAGTCTTTCTTAATATATTATGGGGTTCGACAGCTTTTCCTTTCGTCTTATTTTGAACTTAAATGACATTGCCACAAGAAGAAAACAAATTTTCTCTATTTACTCATTCGGAATATCCCATAGTAAAAATTAAGAAAGAATATTTCATTCATACCCTAGTCGAATATCTTGTAAGCAAGATCTTATTACAGATCTTAGGTAAGAATCCATAAGATCTTGGATGGCTCATTCTGAAAGCACGATTTGTTATTTTTTCAATTTATTATTATTTTAATTATTCCTGATTTGACTAATTCAAGTAAATCAGATGTTAGGATCTGATTGGCTTTAAGTTGGTCCGATATTCGTCAGACCAATTTAGGGCAGTCATCTCTCGATCATTGATCGAGATCAGCATTCTCTCGAATAATCAAGAAATAGTTTAGAAAAAACACTTATTTTGAAAAATGATGCTTCGTATGTTCAATCACGTTGCTTATATTCAACTCTGTATGCATGAAAGAACAGTCAATGACTGGAGAGCATCTGTAAATACACTTATCATGTTGCTTTCTGTTTTCCTCAAGATTTTGTAAGAAGATAATAGTAAACGATATCTTCTCCGTGATCTTGCCAAGATCTTAGGCACAGATTTATCTGATACAACCAATATATGTACATACAAATTATCTTTTTAAGATCTTGATAAGATCACGCTTACCGAACCCAAGATTTCCAGATCTTGCTTACAAAATGTTTCACTAGCGAGTATTATTATTCAGTTGGAATGAATTTTTCGTGAGATGATTGTTTTTTGTTCGAAGGCGTTACGTTCGCATGTATCATCAAATTGCTTCATGTTTATTTCAATCCACTACATTATTTAGTAGATTTTGATAGTTTATTCTTTGATGATAAAAATAACCAAAAGAAATCAATGGATTAGATCAAAAGAAGAACATAGCAAAATCAAATCAACATAAAGAAAAAGAATTACAGTTATGCATATATATATAGTGATGTTCTGTAATGAAATGAATATAAGTTTGATTCAGATTTTTTCGTGTGGAACGAGACTTGCTCGGCTGCTTTGACGCGATACAGATTGAGTTTTTCGATCTTTCTTTTTATCGGGTACACCTTTCTTACTGTTGAAAAATCTATTAAGAGCATACATTGCCACAGCAAATATAACAGCATTTAGAACCAAATAGATAACCCAATATAGTGATAATATAATTGCTAAATTTTCTCCATCACATACTTCAGTCGTATTTGCTGCCGTAGACGACATACTAATATAGATAAATAGTTAAATACATGGAAAGAAATCATATTTTTCATGCGCACAAACTTTATTCTCGCTTGTAAACGTTACCCGTGTGATTACTTGAGTGTGTGCACGAATTTTTCTTGCGTTTTCACTTTTTATATTCATTGCAAAACAAACAACATGTCCCCCAACACAGCTATTCAGTCATTTTTTTTCTTTTCAAGTGCACTTTGAATAATTCAAAAATCAACATTACTTTTCGATACTCTTTAAAATCCAATTATATTGACTGAATGCAAAGAAAAATAGATTGAAATGAGTGAAGAAGTAAATAAGCATAACAAAGAGGGGGTGAGCAGATATACAATGCAGCGGAAAAAGAAACAAATTTGATTTCTTTTGTATACGCTTCAGCCTTTTTTTTTATAGAACATTATCCCATAACGATAAATAATTAATCCATGAAACAAAAAGAATTATAATCTACATCAATAGAAATAACTGTTATCAAACAATAATCGATTTAGAAAATTACATTTAAGAGCGGAAACGCAATTTAATGTGATACTTTTTTAAAACAAAAGGAAAAATTAACGGAAATAATTATCTACGATAAGGTCGATTTTTATACATTATTCAGATCTAAATCTCATTTGAATGCAGTTAATCAAATGGAAATGACAAAGTCAATTGAAGATTACTCATTGCACTTAGAATAGAACAAAACAATAAACGTTGTTCTTCACGTTTAGTGCATCTTTCGATTTGTATGATTAGATTTAGAGTTTTTTCAAAGTTAAAAAATTCTATCTAACAAATTGTTATCTACTTTCAATAAAACATAGCAATTATTACCCTAGTCAAACTTCTTTTGGTCTGTGCAGGAGATACTTGAGAGTCTTGATCAAGAAAGTCATGCGCTATGGACAAAACTTGAGGCAAGACTTGAGACCTTTCGACGAGCTCAAGCTCTTAAACTTCTTGCTCTATCGCTTGATGTTCTCGCACATGCGCTTGATATTCTCGCACATGCGCTTGATGTTCTCGCACATGCCCTTGATATTCTCGCACATGCGCTTGATATTCTCGCACATGCGCTTGATAGTCTCGCACATGCGCTTGATATTCTCGCACATGCGCTTGAATTTTTATGCAAGTGTTTCTGTTATTCAAGGATTTTTTATAGTGTTTTTTTGCAATTTTACGTTCAAAACAGCTCAACTTTTAATAAAAATTCATAGATGTATTTTCATGCAACACTCAAGCGCTTGTCTTGAGCAAGAAAGTCATGCGCTATGGACCAAACTTGAGGTCCGCGCATGTCCAGTGCAGAAAACAAAGAGCTCAACTAGGGTATTTCTCTTGCTTAAAATATCGTTAAGTAAGTTTAAATTACAAAGAAGGAATATATTTATATTCTTAGTATTGTATTTTTTTGTGTGATAATTATTATTGAATAAAACACTTCTAGATTACATCTATTTATTAGATAATAAAAGTACATGAGATTGCCTTTAACATCAGAATTATGCTAAATAAAGCGAATTATAATATCAAAATTTAATGATTCATAAATAATAGCTGCTTGTTTCTAAACAAAAGTTTTACATTTTTAAACTAATGTAGGTACTATGTAGACATTATTTCATTACAATTCGATCACTCTTGCAAAAATTTAAACAACAGAACTTTGACACCAAGTCATATGAATTATAAATAATCTTGGAAACATAAGGAATGCTTAGTAGAAAATATTTTGTTTTTATTTTTATTAGTCTCTATCAAGAAGATTATTTTAGTATTCGAGACATCATTTGCATCAATGAAAAACGAGATTTAAATGAATCTCAAATCTTATTATTGATAATAACTAGCTCATTTCAAGATTAGTAGAGAAAAATCAGAAAAACATGTCACACATTCTTTGAAAGAAATGACCACACTATTATCTCAAGGGATGTAACATCGATATTCAGTTAGTTCAGCGTCATCAATTAACTGATTCGTTTTATAGGTTATATTACTGTGACCTAAATAAACTAGAAAGTTTTCATCAAAATTGCAAGCTGACTACCATGATGCATAAAAAAGGAATATTTCGATATCGAAATATATTATTTATTTGTTAATT